TCCTTAACTATAAACCTTAAATGTGCGTCTGTGTCTGGTATACTCTTTTGGAGAGGAAAGGCAAAACTTTTTATGGCATTCAACCAGATCATTTGAGTGGCATATTCTCGTGCCATTACAATTGTTGTAATGGCAATTCTCGTGTGTGATATTATTTGGTTTAAAGTGCAAACTTCATGGTGTATACTTCCTGATCATTGAAAGGGTTGTCAGCTTCTGGTGAATACTGTAAAATCTTATTAAAAATTCTCAAATAAATACTGGAAAAACACCTATCCGCTTAGTTTCATTACACTTTGAGATTCCTCAAGGGAGGTGACTCCAATAGAAATTCCACTCTTACAGGCCAAAATGGAGACAGCAAGGATGTATATTATGGATGCCATTTTTCCCTCTCTATTTTGGTTTTCTCGACCAAACAAGTAACGCTTACCAATATTGATTTGTTGGACGAAGTTTTCGAGTGACTTGAGCAAGACTAATGTACCTTTTTTCTATGTATTTCTTGTCAGTAATTTTATTTCAGATTAAAATACTTGATATTTGAAACAAAGAAAACTTCAAAATTAACACCTGGAGCATAAAGATGTGGAAATTGATCATTTGAACAAACTACGAAATATTCCTTTATTCAATCATTTTAAGAAGCGAATGGTAAACTTGAACAAATGTTGTTCAAAGTTCAAAACGCCTTGAAGAAAGCGCAACTATATACTAACCCGAGTAATGCTATTCAATCCTAGTGAGTTTTACCGCTAGTTTATGTAATAGTGAAGTCATTGTCAATCAGACTGTTAGGTTTTGATATCCAATAAATTCGGGCGATAATGTAAAAAATCGATGTTGAATAAGTTATATCGACACCTAAGTGATGGCTCGACCAGGAAACAACTTGGGGCTACTAGAAGCAACTTAATTGAGTTAATGTCGCTCGTGGCCCAACACTCGTGGATGGTCCAAGTTATTGGGTTGAATGGTGATTTCATTAGCCCATTTATTGCTAGATAGTTGTGGTCTTTATTAGTAGCCCAATTAATGTCTTGGCCCAATTGGTGTAACCAATATTCATCCTATATATACCTATTCTCTTGGTTAACCTAGAGTGGGTAATTTGTGAGGGAAAATTGGCCGCTCCTTGGTAAAGAAAACGGACATCCTTAAGGGAGAAAATCTGGCCAGCGTGGTGCTCCAAAACAAAACTGGCGATATACTTTGTGTATTGGTCTCTTCCTTGTCTCCTTTGTGGTGCCCCTTTCCCTTACCTTTGCGGCTACAAATCACCACCACCAAGTGTACTCTTTGTGGGTGAGAAAACTAGTGGCAACCTGAGTGTGAGCGTTGTGGGTCAAGTCGCCTCGGTTGGTGTCGATTGGTTGTAGACTGAGCCCGAATCTTGGAGCAATTGGAGTTCATTTCTTTACATGGACAATTTGACAGTGATCACAATACTGCATAAACTCGTGCAAGGCACTAGTAGAGCTGAATTCATATTCACCTTATTACATCTTAATAAATAATTCTTAGCTACATTAAATAGCATATTCAATATCTCAAATCCGTAAAAATTGAATTAAATAGCATAAATCTTCATTTTACACCTAGTGGGTCTTACCACCGGTCTAAGTAATAGTGAAGCCATTGTCAATTAGAGAATGAGCAATACTATTTATCATCATAGTGATATGACAATGTAAGTGAAATAATTAGATATGACAGTTTAATTTTCATAAGAAATTAGGGGATTGAATTGTTTTATCTCATTATTTAATCTACGTATTTGTTACAACTGTCGGGAAAATAAAATCACAAATACAAGAATGCTTGATGATACTCGCATAATGTTAAATCTCCCCACGTAG